TTAATTTTTTTAAAATCTATTCATTCATTATGTATATAGTGCACTGCCTGCATGTGAGGACTCTAGAGCAGTCAGTGCTCTTAACCTCTGAGCCGTCTCTCCAGCACCCATCGGAAGACTGTTATTTCTCCGAGTTCAGCCGTGACCCACCACTCTGCCTGTTCACAAGCTTTTCTTCCTGCCTGAGGCGCTCTGTTTGCACTGTCTGGACGAGTGTCAGTCTTTCATTAAGTCAGACTCACTGCCTGAAGCTTCCTGTTTGGCTCACTTCCTCCAATCCAGCAACATCAGCTTCCTTTGCACAACTCCCACAGTTGCGCTCTGTGTCTCCTATTCTGTCACCTGGTATAATGTGTGGGCTCGCCGTTCTCTCCTACCAGGCTCCCTGTGGGTCCTTGAAGGAAAGGACCATGTTTCATGATTATAGTTTCATCACTCAGTGCAGTGCCTGACTGAATGTAGATGCTCATAAATGGTGAATGAAGTATGAATGCTCCCACTTTCTACATTTATTTCACTTTTTTTTTTGCTTGTTTATTTTTGTTTTGTGTAGTCCTGGCTGTCCTGGAACTTGCTTTTTAGATCAGGCTGGCCTCAAACTCAGAGATCTATCTGCTTCTGCCTCAGGAGTGCTAGGATTAAAGGTCGGGTACCACCACTGACTGGCTATTCTTTAACTGTTTCAACATTTTTCTCATTCCCTTTGTATTAATGACCTCAAACAAGAGATAAATTGATCACGAGGAAATCAGGAAACGACTTCTGTTTTAAAATCTGTACAATGGAGCTGGTGACACAGCTGTGTTTAAAACTGGTAAGGCTGGGGACAAGACTAAGTGCTAGAGCAGAGCACGTGTCTAGCAAACATGAGGGCTTGGGTTTGAGCACTAGTGCTTGAGAAACAACCAACACAATAGTCAGGTGTGGGGGAATCTGCCTTCAGTCTCAGCACTGCGCAGGTGGGGGCAGGAAGAGCTTGATGAGTCTGAAACCAGGCTAGCCTGGTCTACATAGTGAGGTCTAGAACACCCAGGGCTATGCAGTGAGACCGTGTCTCAAATAAAAACTAAATAAGATACGTGTAGTAAAAAAAAAAAAAAATGAATGCCTTGTTGATGGGGAGCTAGCTCATTTAATGGCCCAACTGCTAGGAGGCAGAGGCCGAGGGATCACTTCATTCCAAGAGGTCAAAACTAGCCTGAGCAATGTAATTAGACCCCTCCGTGTAATAAGATACGTGCATGCTTTACTCCTTCAGAGGAGAATGCTAGATAAACAAAACCGTGGTTTCCTTTGGGAATTACTTGGCAGCGTTTTATGAAGTGAGGTACAGACCTAAGATATGACCAGAAACATAAATCCTACATATTCATCCCCAAAGAAAACAAGTTCACAAAAACTTATGCAGTGTTATTAAATGAGATAAAAATAATATTTAACATTTCCATCAAGAGAAAAGTAAATTGTAGTGTATCTCACTTGATCTTACATAAAAGACCAAGAAGTCATGTTTCGGTCTGACCATACTGTGGAATGCTGCTTAGCAACCGATCACGCTGAATTACTGACACACAACATAACTGAATCTCAAAAACCCCTATGCAAAATAAAAACTCAGGGGGTAAAAAAAGTACATAGATTGTATGGTACTGCTTATCTGTACTGGACAACAACGTTTTTAAAGAAATCAGGCTACTGAGAACAGGGGGTGGAGGGTGAGGGAGGGTGTAGCACTTTTCTATCATACACCACGCCTTGGTCTCAATTCCCTAGCACTCTTGTTCGTTTAAAGAAAGAAATGGGGCTGGAGAGATGGCTCGGCGGTTATAAGTACTGACTGCTCTTCCAACGGACCCAGGTTCAATTCCCAGGAACCACATGGCAGCTCATAAGTGTGTGTAAATTCAGTCCCTGGGCAATCTGACACCTTCACACCATTGCACATAAAATAAAATTAAAAAAGAAAAAAAAGGAAATGAGAATATTTATGATTCTGGAGGGAGAATGGATTTAGTAGAAGGGAAGTTCCAGGGATCTTGGGGGAGGTGACATTCTGTATTCTGTCTGCAGGGATAGATGATGAAGCACAGTGTTAGTGCACATAGGGTCTGCACATTAGCATAAGGATTTTTGGAACTCTCAACATATATACATGCATGTGCATGTACACAGTGTAGGCATGCTAACATGCAAACACACACTGATTTCCTATCTACAGTAGACAAATAAAGACAATGGGCAAAGTCTAAAACAATGGACCACTGCAAGAACATGTTTAATTCCGGTATTCATTTTAGCATAATTTAAAAAAATTTTTTTTTGATTTTTCGAGACAGGGTTTCCCTATAGCTTTGGAGCTTGTCCTGGAACTAGCTCTTGTAGACCAGGCTGGCCTTGAACTCACAGAGATCCACCTGCCTCTGCCTCCCAAGTGCTGGGATTAAAGGCCTGTGCCACCACCGCCCAGCTATGTTTATTTTTTTTAACTCTTGGGCTAATACTAGTATCATTTTGATTACACTCTACCCAAATCAACTAAGGTAAGTAATATATTAAAAAAAAACAGAAAAATTGCTAGGCAGTGGTGGCACACGCCTGTATTTCTGGCACATAGGAGGCAGAAGCAGGCAGATCTCAGTGAGTTTGAGGTCAGCATGGTCTACAAAGCGAGTTCCAGGTTAGCCAGGGATGTTACACAGAGAAACCGTCTTGAAAAACTAAACAAACAAGAACAGAAAAAATTGGACCAGATGTGGTGATGCCCACCTTTAACCTCAACACCCAGGAAGTAGAAGCAGTCAGATCTCTGTGAATTCCAAGCCAGTCATAACAATATAATGAGACTCTATCTCAAAATCAAACAAAAATTGCTTTGGGAATAAAACTTTGCTATGAGTAAGATAAAAATTAATTAAAAGTAACTGAATATAATTTGGTCACAGATATTAAAATTTGTTCAAATATTTGAAGCTTTTTTTAAAGTCCTGGCTAATTAGATCATTCACGTTTTTCTTTTTTTTTAACCAGGAAAGCCTGAGAAAAATGTAGTGCCAGGCATGCATTTAATTAGGCCTCTGGAATCTCATCCATTTAGCTGAATGTTTCACAGGATATTTATCTTTCTGCCTTTTTTTTAAAATACATTTTTATTGGTATTTATTGAGCTTTACATTTTTCTCTGCTCCCCTCCCTGTCTCTCCTCTCCCTTTTCAACCCTCCCATAAGGTCCCATGCTCCCAATTTACTCAGGAGATCTTGTCTTTTTCTACTTTCTACTTCCCATGTAGATTAGATCTATGTATGTCTCTCTTAGTGTCCGTATTGTTGTCTAAGTTCTCTGGGATTGTGGTTTGTAGGCTGGCTTTCTTTGCTTTATGTTTAAAAACCACCTATGAGTGAGTACATGTGATAATTGTCTTTCTGTGTCTGGGTTACCTCACTCAAAATAATGTTTTCTAGCTCCATCCATTTTCCTGCAAATTTCAAGCTGTTGTTATTTTTTTCTGCTGTGTAGTATTCCACTGTGTAAATGTACCACATTTTTCTTATCCATTCTTTGAGGTTCTTATCCATTCTTTTGGTTGTTGCCAGGTTCTGGCTATGACAAAGTTGCTATGAACATAGTTGAGCACATGTCCTTGTGGCACAGTCAGGTTTTTCATACACTGAGATTGCGCTTCAATGTCACTACAAAATCTTCATGGTAGATGTTTATCTTCTAGCATGAATTAATGCGATTTCAAACAAACGAACATAACCGTGCTGGACACATCAATGGATTTTACTGAGTTTATTACTGGGGTTTATTAGTAGGATATGATGGTTTGCAGAATTCATAAATATTCAAGGATGAGACTTGGAATCAAGTAGAAATGAGGGAAGCGAGACAGCTCAGTAAGGTCATCTCACCACCAACTCTGTCCCAAAGATACTCAATTCAGAGTAAAGACCAGAGACATGCATTCTAGCTTCCTGGCTGGCCTAGAATACTGAGTCTGGCTTCTTGTTTTGTTGACAGTGGGGTTACCTTCCCACGAATGCATACTAGGGACAGGATTAATATCTCCAAAATTAAATGGGGGGTCCATTGCATAAGAGGAATGGACCCGAATACCGATTATAAAAACAATATCCATCTCTCAAAGTCCTCGTTTATTATGGGAATGTTTTCAATTTCCAATACGGCTATGACAGTAAATTGACTGATCTAATGACTAGGAATGCTGCTTCCAGTATAACGACTGATTTAGTATCCTCATCTACAATCAGAGAGGCAGTCAGGAAGGGGAGGAAAAGAGAGAAGGGTAATGGGAGTGAAAATGATCAAATTATGTTATTTCACACACGCCTGTCTGAAAAATGTCAAAATGAAACCTAGTACATTGTACAATTAATGAACGCTAAAAAAAAAAATACGTGTCTTCACAGGCTCAAACTACAGGTATGAGAGGAAAGAAAGTCAAAACGAAATTTTTGGTGAGACACTGTCTCACTATATTGCTCTTGCCTCTGCCTCCCGAATGCTGGGATTGTGAGTATGCGCACCACGCCCGGCTTGTCAAAGTTTTAACCCACCAGTAGATGCGTTGTTTAAACACAACAGGGGAAAAACTTGAAAAACACACGAACGGTTTTTGTTCACGCGTAATTATTTGCCTACGCGACTTAACAGACCCTACAACCACTAAAACTCACGGCGCCGCAGAACGTAAATGAATTCCGGCCGAGAAGTAAAGCGAGAGATTACTACGTCACATGACGCACCGGCTTGCGTCGGCACGCTCCGGAAGTAGAGTCCACGCCCGCGAGGGCCCCATTCCGGGCTGTCTAACATGATGCCTGTGTGAGTTTGGGTTTGCTGGCTGCCTTTAGTCTGCGCAGGGGAGAGCGTTCTCACAGCGTCTCCAGGTTATCATGGTGATGCGGTTCTCTCGAAGAGCCTCGCAGGCCCGGCGTTTCTCTTCAGGCCGTGCCTCGGGCAGCCCGCCCTCCTTGTAAGAGCGCGCGGCCCCGCCCCCTTCCTTTCGGCCGCGGTAGCCATCTTTCAGGTTGGTGGGTGCGCGTGGCTCTCGCGACTTTCGGTCCTCACAAGCTGCACGAGGGCTCAACCCGTTGAGGCTGCGTGTTAGGGTCGTGGGGAGACTGTCTAGAGGCCTTTGGCTTTGGTGGTGGGTGGCGGGGGCTTTTATCCGGAGAAGTTCGGCCTGGCTCAGTCCTGGTCGCCGGGCGTCCGCCTAACACTAGACATGAGCATGTGGTGTCAGGTTAAGGCTTTAAAGTCGCATTGGGTCTTAACGAGACTTGGGTGTGTACAAGCCTGGACTTCGCTATGGCAAGGAGGGTTCCCGACGAGTCAGCCCGGGCAATGATGTGGAGGAGACCCCTCGGGGTGCGTGAAACAGTCCGCGCTTTTCAAATTTGGCCCTAAGAGCGTAGGAAGGGACGGTAACCTTACGGCTGCCACCATTGTGGCTCAGAATAATGACCAGGAGTGGCAGGCAGTTATACTCGGAATAACTGGAGTTGGAGTTACCTAAACCTATTGGCTTGTTGGAAAACAAGATCTGATTCTAAATATCTGTAGTACGTAAGATGGTGCTAAACTAGCTGCCGATTGAGTACTCTCCCTGTGCCCAGAGCCCCTTGGGGCTCTTTACAGATGTTACTTAACATGAATGTTTGTAAAAATGGAAAATCATTTACAGTTAGGAATGTCAGCTTAAGTAGGTCTTTATAGCAGGAATCGTCGAGGCTTGCCTTAGATTTATCAGGGATCTGATTCTCTCTGTACATGTAATTCATTAGCAAATGGAAGTGTAGAATTAAGAGATTCTTTTGACGGGATATTAAAGTTAATAAGGATTAACAGCATCAAAGTGCAGGCTTGAGTTCTGTGGTCTCCAACCACAAAGTTATCCTGGAGTTGAGAGTTGCAGTGTTCTTGGCCTTTTAGATTGTTCTACTCGCAAATACGTTGTGGTATTTATTGGTGTTTACTGTATTCTAGTAGCAAGGTGTTTTGGCTTGAATTTTAATATCCAGTCCTGGTTTTAGTGGCAGAATTTCGTTTTAAAAAAGAGAGAGAGATAGCTTTCTATTTAATCCGTGAGGAATCATGGACACCTACTTAAAATCCTAGCTCTTGGGAAGCCTAGTCCGGGAGATGCTGAATTTGAGGGAGCCTGGTGTGTGTGTATGGTGGTCCAGCTTATGTTGTTAATTGATGAATTTTAAGGGGATAGTTGAGAACATTAAATTGTTATTTGACTGCTAACTTTTCTGGTTTCAGTAACTCGCCAAAATGACAAACACAAAGGGAAAGAGGAGGGGCACTCGCTATATGTTCTCTAGGCCCTTTAGGAAACATGGTAAGTGATAATTGTTTTTAATCTACCTGTGGGTAACAGCATGCACCTGTATACTGTCCTAAGCGAAAGGATGGATCTCGTAATCTGATAAATTCTGTGTTGTGCAGGCTTAACCCTAGAAGGAAGTATTAGCCTGTCAGTCTTCGACTGGCAGTACTTATAATAATGAGAAATTGTCTGTTATACTTAATGGAACTGCCAAAGATTTGTGCTTTGTGTTGATAGGTAGTACAGTTATGGAAGTGCTCCTTGTAGCTCTAGACATTATCTTGATGCTTTTTTTCTCTTGTAGGAGTTGTTCCTTTGGCCACGTACATGCGAATCTACAAGAAGGGCGATATTGTAGACATCAAGGTAAATTAGAGTAGAGGAAAAGTCAATATTAGAAGTGAGAGACTAGGCCAGGCAGGGGTGTTGTACCCCTTAGAAAGGCAGAGGCAGGCGGATCTCTTGAGTTAGAGACCAGTCTGGCGTACAAAGGCGAGTTCCAGGACCCCTGGTGCTACACAGAAACCCTGTGGGCAGGGGAAGAAGTTAGGAACTAGTTGGGCAGTGGTCATACACGTCTTTAATCCCAGGACTAAGGCAGAGGCAGATGAATCTCTGGCTCTTCAAAGCAAGTTCCAGGACAGCCAGTGCAGTTAAACAGAAACTTTGTTTTGGAAAAAAAAAAGTTAGAGCTGTTGATTTAATGATGTGAATTTAATAATACAAATGGGGAAGGGATAAAAGAAGAAATTTAAAATTAGTTGAGAATTTAGGCAACTTTTGGTGGCACAGGCCTTTAATCCCATCACTCAGGAGGCGGTGACAGATAGATCTCTTGAGTTTGAGGTCAGCCAGAGCAACATAGAAACCTTGTCTTAAAACAAAAAAGAGTGCTGGATCATGCTTTTCTCTGGATGCAGAGGCAGGCAAATTTCTTGAGTTAAAGGACAGCTGGGGCTATACAGTTAGACCATATCTTAAAGAGATAATAAACAAAATTTGTTGTTACAGTTGAGATTACTTTTTATGAAAACCCCAGTGAAGGCTACACTCTGAATAGTTGGGTATGTTCTGGCGCTCTGGAACTTAATGATGATTGTCAATTTGATTGCTTGATGCAATGTGAAAACCACATTTCACCGGCTCTGAGAGTTCTTGAGTTGCCATTTAAAGGGTGCCTTGCTTACTTAAAAGGATTTGAAAAGAGGAATTGCTGTTAAAAAAAAATACTTTGTCTCTTGACTAGGGAATGGGCACTGTTCAAAAAGGAATGCCCCATAAATGTTACCATGGCAAAACCGGAAGAGTCTACAATGTCACCCAGCATGCTGTGGGCATCATTGTAAACAAGCAAGTTAAGTAAGTAGAATGCTGTTGTTTGTGGCTAGTAGGTCACACACCCCCTTTCACTTTGCCAATTGGACTTAATGTCTTCATTGGCCATTCAAGTGGGGCAAAGGAAATAACCTTTTAAAACTCAGGCAAACTTAAGTGTTTGTCTTGTAACCTGTCAGGGGAAACATTGACATTCACTGAGAAGTCTGGAGTGGTTGGTGCGGGTGTGCTGGTAGTATTAAAAGTTCATCACTAGCTTCATTAGCCTGGTTCGGTTAAGTTTCAGACCATGCTCATCAGAAAAGTAGCTCTAAAGTGCTCTCAGGGCTTCTTCCTTTGGGTGAGAGCAATTGACATAAGCGTGAGTGTGGTGCTAACTTACTGTCGCAACAGTGTACGTTTCTGTTGGGTTTTTGAATGAAGCACTTAGAAAGCTTACTGGTCTTTCAAGGGGCAAGATTCTTGCCAAGAGAATTAATGTGAGGATTGAACACATCAAGCACTCGAAGAGCAGGGACAGCTTCCTGAAGCGGGTGAAGGAAAACGACCAGAAGAAAAAGGAAGCCAAAGAGAAGGGCACTTGGGTTCAGCTGAAGCGCCAGGTGAGTCCTACCAGGCAATGTTTATTGCTGTTAATATTGAGGAATCTTTAAAACTTTGCTCCCTTTATTTTGTTAGTAAGTGTAAGGATTGATTCCAAAGAGCACTTTAAAATTTTCCATAATCCTTTTCTTTTCCAGCCTGCTCCACCCAGAGAAGCACACTTTGTGAGGACTAATGGCAAGGAACCTGAGCTGCTGGAGCCCATTCCCTACGAATTCATGGCCTGATGTACAAAAAGAAATAAAAGACCTGGACTGTAAAGGGTTCTTCTTAAGTTGAAGTGTGGTGCTTTCTCCCTGAAAGAAAATGCTGGTTCACTGTCTTTCCTATTCAGATTTTACTAAATTTTTCCTGCTAATTGATACAACTTAGTGTGCTGGAAATACATTGTTGATTAGGAAAATAGCAAGATGGTTATTCTAAATCACGGGGTGGGGGCAGCATAGAAAAACTAGTGAATTAGTCAGGCGTGGCGGTGCAATGCTAATCCTTGTATTTGGAGGCTGAGGCAGGAGGTGAAGATGGTGTCTTATAGCTGTATCCTCCAAAGGGGCAAACAAAACTTAAGCCAGAAGGAGAGGGGTGGAAGTATGGCCTGGACAGTTTGCACTGGTTGGTGAGAAAAGCCCTGGTCCTTTTTTTCCTAACCTTCCCCCAAAGCCTCACTTCTTTAGAGTGGGTAGTGTGAGTCCAGCATGAATTTTGAAGGGTCTCATTTAAAGCCATGGCAGTCACCTTAGGAGTAGCAAAGTCATATGTCTTTGACCCCATTTTAAATAGTTCAAGTTGCTCAGTCTCCATCTTTGGAACAAAATCTTGCCCTTGCCAGGTCTGGTCAGTTTCATGTTCTTGGTTCTATACAGGGTTCACCCTCTGGTACTCTATAGGTTGTATTTAGTGTCTTGGCCTTTAGCTTTTCTCTAAGGTCCATTTAGGTGATACTCCTATTCCAGACTCTTAAGTGCCAGTCAGCTGTGGACTTAGCTTTCTTTTGAGTACAGAATAGCTTCCCTGCATCCAAATCTAAAATACTTCAAAATGTAGTTCCCAGCTGGCTGCTGTGTGCCCTGCACACTTTACTGGGTATGCGTGGGGCCAAATAGGGTGCACATGTAGTTCTAGTTGGTTGAAGAAAGAAGGTATTTGATGAAAGTTTAAGGTCTTTGTGGCATCAGGAAGGTGCAGTCTCTGGACAGAAGCCCAAACAGCCATACAAGGGTGTATTTATTGTTAGAAAATATTTCCTCATGTCAAGGTCCCTAATATAATTTACATGTCTCACTGAAGGAGAGTATCACATGCCCCTGACTCTAGTCCTTATGTATCATTTGCAGTACATGGTAATACAAGTCTCAGGTGTGCCCGAGGTGTCTTGTGACCCATGCTCTTTCAACAAAACAATTCTGTGCATCATGAAAAACATCTCTTTTCTACAAAGATTCTTTAAGGTCAAAGCACTTAATAAAAAACAGCTGTTCTAATATCTACCTAGGATACAGTGACTGCTAAATTTCCTATAACAGAAGCAGCTATATAGCCAGGGCTAGTACGTAGTGACACCCTGTTCCAAAACAAAAGCCACAGTTCTCAAATGTTTCTCTCACAACCCGGGCTTTGGTTTCCTTCAGCGGGAACACAAAAGATAAGGGTTTTGCTAGAGCTCCATAAGAGTTTTTGGCTGCTGTGTTTGCTATTAAGGTAAGGCTTGCAAGCAATATAGGTTGGCAGCTCTGGGCAAGGCAGGGTCTTGACCATCTGTTCTACCGCTTTTATCAGAGGCCACCATCTGAATAACTTACAGCCCTCTGCCTTTGTAGGTTTTTTTTTTTTTTCTTAGTATTGCTGTAGTTTTGGATCCTGTCCTGGAACTCAGATATTCGCCTGCCTCTGCTTCCCAAGTGCTGGGATTAAAGGCGTGCACCACTACCTGGCTAGTACCAAGAATTTTGATGATCTGTTAGGGTATGCTATTTCATCCTCATGATGTGAGGACTGCTGTGTTTTATGCATAAGTTAACTGCAAGAATCTGGCAGAGCTGAGCCTTGACACCAGTATGCACCAAAGTTACTTCAACACAGCTTGACTCCAGTAGCAAATATGTATGAATGGCCTTTAAAAAAATATGGTGCATTTTTTTTAAAGCAGAGGCAGGTGGATCTCTGAATTCAAGACCAGCTTGGTCTACAGAGTGAGTTCCATGACAGCCAGAACTGTTACCACGCAGAGAAATCCTGTCTCAACAAAACAAAGATTGGGGACTTTGGGGTTTTTGAGAGGGTTTTTCTGTGTAGCCCTGATTGTTTTGGAGATCACAAGGGCAAGGTGGCCTTGAATTTACAGAGATCTACCTCCTGAGCATTGGGATTTAATCCTTTAAGGTGTGTGCCACCGCCGCCTGGCCAAACTGGTCTTATTTTCTGCCATGCTTTATAAGTCTTTTTCTGAAGTCTGGTTACCATTTTGCTCATGAGTACTTAGGATTGTTTGATCCTTCTGTGATGTGGGAAAAGCTGGAGGTCTAAGACAGTGCTTTGTTCTTTCCCAGAAAGTCTTGCAGTCTTCACTATCTGTTGCCTTTTTAATAACATGGCACAGGGGCCAGAATGATTCCTGAAGGTCCTTGTGCCCTTACAGTCTATGATTTATGATTTACCCTGACCCAAAGAGAAACCTCCATTCAGAAGGGGTAATGAAGTTGACAATGAGGAAAGGAATGACCACCAGCAGAAGTGATTAGCAGTGGTTCTCAACCTTCCTAATGCTGTAACTCTTCAGTTCAACCGTAAAATTATTTCTTTACTGTTATGAGTCGCAAATATCTGATGTGTAGCCCTCCCTTGCAGCCCAAAGGTTGAGAACCATTGGATTAGGGGCACTGTTACTTTAAGGACACCTATTCAGAAATTTCTTATCATTTGGTGTACAGCACAACAATTTCCTAAAACAAATGGCCAAGCTATGAATATGCATAATCTTTAAAGATAGGCTTCTTCACAATTCTGGGTAAAAGAATGTGATTTGCTGATGCTTGAGTTATTTTGGCAAGTGATTAACAAGGAGATTGGAGAGATGGCTCAATGGTTAACAGTACTGGCTGTTCTAGCAGAGGACCAGGTTTAATTCTCAGCACCCACTTCCATGGTGGCACAGGACCATCTGTAGGTCTAGTCCCAGGGGATCCAGTATCCTCTTCTGGCCACTGAGTGTTCTGCGCAAAAGTGGTACACATCCATAACATGGAGAAAAAATACAAGTTAAAAAAGAGATGACTTGGTGGTTCAGAGCATGTGCTGTTCTGTCAGAGGACCTGAGTTCAATTCTCAGCGCCTGCATAGGCAGCTTGCAACTGCCTCTAACTCCAGCACCAAGGGGATCTGACACTGTTGGCCTACCCATGCACCTGAACACATGCATAACATAAATTAAAAAAGGATGTATCTTTAAAAACTGAAAAAAAGCTGGCTGATGCCTTTAATACAATATATAGTACCATTTCTGGAGGGCCAGAGACAGGCAGATCTCTGAATTCGAAGGCCACCCTGGTCTACAGAACTAGTTCCAGAACAGCTAGGGCCACACAGAGAAACCCTGTGCTGAGAAAGCAAAACAAAAAATCGCTTTCTCTAAGGGCTTTTACCAGCATCAGTTATTAAGGCTTTGCAAATTTGGCAGGAGAAAATGTAAATGAGTTTGGATCTTGTTTACTTTCATCTTTGCAATTTGTGGGGGTTGGGGGCGGGCTTTCTGACCATAATTGAAGTGCCTTAATTCTTCAAATGATTTTTGGTTTCATGATTTTGAATATCATTTATATCCAGACAGTGACCCTGACCTACAAAGCCCTCCACCCAAGCTGTGGCTTTCTGACATTTTCCTTGTGTGACTTCTAGCCCAGAGCTTGGATTTGGTTACTTTTCCCCTCCTTGCTGTGCCTTTGATATGCCAGGCACACCCTTCTTCAAAGCTTTTGTGCTTGGTGTTTCCTTTGCTGGAAAGCTTGTCCTACATAGATGCCTGTGGTCTGTCCCCTTTCCATATTCGACCTCTGCCCAGATTTTGTCAAGACTGTCTCTTAATGGCCTATAAAAATAGCAAGATCCTTTATCATTTTTTTGTTCCTTTATAGTATTTATGACCCAATATATCTTTTTGTTGGGGAGTCTGAGTTTTTAATCAACATCATTTGCAGCTTCCTGTTAAGGTCAGGAGTACTTATTGCCATCAACAGAGGGCAAAGAAGACCCTGCCACACAACCCTGCTGAAAGCTGTGACAACCTGGAAGGTAGAGAAGGCAGACACTTATGTGAGACAAGCCAAAGGGCACTGGGAACAGAAAGGAGGACACAAAGGACAGTTGGTGACAGAACTCTTGTTCCTGGCCGCCCCATCCTCCGTAGTTTATTGAGGATGCAGTGAGACAGCAGTGGATTGGACTGCAATGGAGTGCTGCTTGCAGCTTTCTGCCCTCCATGGTCACGGATTCTTCTGGTCCTGGCGTCTTGTCCCTTTCTACTTGCCTCTTCCTTGACTTCAGCCTCCAGACTTGGGAAGCTTACAGACGAGCAGCAGCCTTTCCTGTGCCTTCCCGGTCCCTTTTGTAGCTAAATCTGGTTGCTCACTACAAATCTGGCTTCCACCTCCACCATTGTGATGCAACTATCCACAGAGGCTGCCAAAATCCTGCTAGTTAACACTTTTGGAGACTTTTCAAATTAATTTTTTTATCTCCTTAATACTTGGCAGATCAACCGGTTTTCTTTCCAGGGACTTCTGCACCTCCACATATTTGCAATCTCCATTCAGACACACCTCTATGCAGGTCCTTGCAGCCCCCCGTGGGTCACTTTCTGTGGTTCTCTAGCTGTCAGTACCAGTCACCTATGAACCTGCTGAAAATGCAGACCACACAGGGCACGGCACACGCCTTTAGTTCCAGCTCTCGGGAGGCAGAGGCAGGTGGATCTCTGAGACTGAAGCCAGCCTGGTCTACAGGGTGAATTCCAGGACATCTAGGGTTACTCAGTTGAGACCCTGTCTCAAAAATAAAAATCCTACCAAAACCAAAACTAAAGCAACAAGGAATAATGCTTGAGATTGAATTCTGGCATACACACACACACACACACACACACACACACAGAGAGAGAGAGAAAGAGAGAGAGAGAAAATAATATTTGAAAAATTTTTTAAATGCAAGTATTTTATAGTTGATGAATTAAGTTGATTCTTTCACTACAGGGTGTCTGGTACTCAGTTCTGGCACCACAGAGTT